GCCCCCCCCCCGCCCCTGCAGCCTCTGTGCCCCCTGCTCCCCACTCACCCTGCAGCCTCTACACCCCCCCTCCTGCAGCCTCGACACACACACACCCCGCCGCCGCCTGCCCTGCTCCCCCCGCTCACCCGGCAGAGGGAGAAATGCAGGCTCCACGTGGACTAAACACTTCCGCGCTGCTCTGTGGGGAAGGAGGGAGCGGGGAAGGGGGAGGGACTCTGGCTGCTAGAGGCCCTAGTGGCTGCGAGCGGCTTTCAATCAGGCCAGGCGTCCAATCAGCCGCGCCGCACTCCGCAGGAGGGGAAATCCCGGACATTTCTACTTCATTAGAAATCCCCCCCGACGGCCATTTAAGGCTGAAAAAGCCGGACATGTCCGGGGAAACCCGGACGGATGGTAACCCTACCTCAACTGTCCCTGCAGAAGAGGGAAGCTTAAAAAGTAGTTATATATTTATATACACACGAGCTATGGAGGTAAATCAGCTCCAGCAATGGCTGGCTGACTCAGAACAGCAGACACAGCAACAACTGTTTGAACAGATGGCACCACACCAGCAACAGTTGTAGCAACAGATGGCAGAACTATTACCAACTGCTGCTTCTCAGGGCTCCCCCCCTAGAGGAAATGTGTCTCCCACACTTCAGGGGAGCCATTCCAATCCAGACACTTTCCAAAATGTTAACAAACGATGACCCAGAGTCATTCTTGGTAACTTTTGAAAGGGTGGCCATGGCCTCTCAATCGCCCCCAGCCCCGTGGGCAATCAGCTTGCTCCACTCCTCATTGGGGATGTCCAGGCAGCAGACTTGACGATGCAGTGCCCAGAACTATGAACAAGTCAGGATGGCCTTATTGGGTAAACCACAGGAGAACACAGGCAGCTGACTGGTTTCTGGACAGGATAGGTTACAGGCGGCCCTCTCAGGGTCTGTGGGTAAGATTTCCCTGAAATAGCAGACACACCATTTTAGGCATCCTACCAGCCTCTCGCCCCAACCTACACAGGAACAAAGGCCTAGTGAAAGTTGGAAGGAGGATGCTTCCTCCAAGCTGCTAGAAGACAAAAGGACAGACTCGATAACCTGTTACGGCTATGGACAACAAGTAGCAGTGATAGACTATGAAAGGGTGGATCCCCTGAGGACACAGGAATATCCCCATTTTGCCTTTAAGGCAGACTTGTTGTATTGCGTAGACCAGGACAAGCAAGTGCAGGAGATATGGACGGAACTACTAATACCCCAGGTATATCATCGCAAGCGTCTAAATTTAGCACACACAACACCATGTGCAGGACAAGATACATTCTAGGATCCTGGCCTGATACTCTTGGCCAGGGGTTCTTAAAGAAGTCAAGAATTTCTGTGCATCATACCCCAAATGCTAAATTAGTGGCTACTAAGCAAGTCCAGCAGGCTCTACTAGTGTCCCTTCCTTTGGTGGGGACCTCATTTGAATGAGTAGGAACTGATCTTATAGGCAGAGCCTCTGCTAATCTATTGGGGACCCTAAGCAGGAATATGTTTGCCCCGCCAACACACACAATACTAAAACAGGCAAGTTCGGGGGCCCCCTTAAGACGCTCGGGGCCCTAAGCAATTGCTTAATCTACTTATGCCTAGCACTGGCTCTGCTTATAGATCCCCTACAGAAGAGCGCCTTTGGACACTAACATATACTTGTTATTGTAGACTCTGCCACCTACTACCTGGCAGCCATGCCACTCCAGTGAACGAATGCCAAGACTATCACTATCTTCACACGGGTAGAGATTCCCAAAGAGATCCTGACAGACCAGGGAACAAATTTCACATCCTGGCTGATCAGAGAGGTCTGGGAACTACTGAAAGTCAAAGCATTATGCTCATCTGTGTACCATCCACAGATGGATGGCCTAGTGGAAACATTTAATCAGACACTCAGGAGAATGCTCAAGAAATTCATTATCCAGGCCCTCGACATTGGGACCAACTACTCTTGACCCTACTCTCCACCATCAGGGAAATACCTCAAGCATCACCACGCAAACTGCTATCTGGGCAACAGGCATACGAGACCTGGTATGGGAAACATGGAAAAGCCAGGCTCCAAGAGCTGAAAACATAGTACAATTCTGTCTTAAAGTTATGGGAGTGATTGGAGTTTATGGGGGCATAGGCTAGAGAAAGCCTCAGAGAAGCATAGGAACAACAACATTATAAGAAAGGGGCACAAATGCATGCCTCCCAGCCAGGCAGAGTTCTACTACTACTTCCAAGCTCTGAATCAAAGCTAATGGCCAAGTGGCAAGGTCCTTATAAGGTGATAAAGAAGGTAGGAACCATGGACTATTTAGTCAGACAACCCGGGGGGGGGAGAACGGGGGGGGGGGACGGGACACAAGTTTACCATGTAAATTTGCTGAAGCCCTGGAGAGCCAGGGCAAACCTCTTCATCATGCTGAGGAACCAGAATTGGTACCCTAAATTAATGACTACCTAAAAGAAAGCTCAGTGCCCCTCAGAGAGCCTAAACCTGAAGCAAAAAGGAACAGGCATTCCAACTGGTGGCCGCTTTTCCAAAAGTATTCTCAGCATCACCCTGCAAAGATGTCCATGCCCCACCATCACATTAATATAGAACCTGTTAAAGTAATACAGGAAGGGCTGTGACCAATCCCCAACAAATTGATGGGAACCATCAAGAAAGAGCTCAAGACCGTGTTAGAACTTGGGGTAATAGAGGAATCCCAAAGTGACTGGAGGAGTCCTATTGTGCTGATTCTAAAGCCGGTCTGCTCACTGCATTTCTATATAGACTTCAGAGAGGTGAATGTAGTTCCAAAATCTGATGCCTACCCCATGCTATGGGTAGATGAACTCTTATACTGGTTGGGAGAAGCCTAGTACATTACCACTCTGGATTTGATGAAGGAGTATTAGCAGATCCCCTTAAGGCCGGACTCTCGGGAGAAGACTGCTTTTCTATGCTGCTTGGCATATTTCATTTTAAGACAACGCCCTCCAGATTACATGGGAAAGCAGCTAGTTTTCAACAGTTGATGTGGTAGTGTACTTGAATGACAGTCATTTATAGCAAGAATTGGGATTCCCATCTAAATAAGGTAGCCTCCATTCTCCAATCCCTGAGGGAAGTCAAGTTAATGGCTAACTCCGCTAAATGCACGATAAGAAAACAGGAAGCCCGTTATCTAGGGCACATGGTTGGTGGACAATAAATCTGCCCATTGGTGGATAAGATTCATGCCTTACAGGCCTACAAGACCCTCACTGCCAAGTCTGAGCCTCCCTAGGTATAGCTGGCTACTACTGTCAGTTCATATCACATTTCAACAACATAGCAGTCCCGCTAACTGATCTAACCAGGGACAACCCCTAAGACAGGTTTTATGGGTGCCCACCTGGGAAAGGGCCTTTCAAGAGTGAAAGGGCATACTCTACAGACACCCAGTGTTGTATTTCCAAACTTCGGGAAGCAATTCATATTGCAAATAGATGCATCAGAGGTAGGACTAGAGGTAGTCTTTCCCAAGAGGTAGATGGAGGAGGACACCTGATAGCATAATCAGCTGGAAACTCTTTCCTCACAAGAAGGTATACTTGGTGATACAAAAGGAATACTTGGCTGACAAGTGAGCGATAGAGAGACCACAGTACTAGCTCCTAAGAAACCAATTCATATTAGTTACCGATCATGGCCCCTTGCACTGACTGAACGTAATGAAAGAGGCAAACCCGAGGATAATGAAATGGTACCTGTCATTACAACCATAAGCCTTCTGGTTACAACATTGAGCAAGAAGTTTGGATAGAAATGCCAATTTTCTGTCAAGAGAAGTAACCTTCACTAGCCAAGGCTGGGCTTTGGCCATAAGGGTTTACAAATGTGGTTTACGAACGCTTTACTGAGCATAGGCAGAAGGGAGAAGAGTCTTTCCCACTTATAGGCAATCAGATGACCATACCCCCACACGTCTGCTAGAACTGCCAGTTGTGGAGGCATGCACCCACAGCTGTGACCAATAAAGAAAGCAAACCCAACTACAAAGGAGGGAGAACAGAAAGCTGGCTAGACCGTCGGGCTCAACGGGTAGTTATCAACGGCTCAATGTCTAGTTGGCATCAAGCGAAGTGCCTCAGGGATTGGTTTTGTTCAACATCTTCATTAATGATCTGGATGATGGGATGGATTGCACCCTCAGCAAGTTCGCAGAGGACACTAAACTGGGGGGGGGAGATAGGGTCCAGAGTGACCTAGACAAATTGGAGGATTGGGCCAAAATAAATCTGATGAGGCTAAACAAGGACAAGTGCAGAGTCCTGCACTTAGGACGAAAGAATCCCATGTACTGCTACAGGCTGGGGACCAACTGGCTAAATCACAGTTCTGCAGAAAAGGACCTGGAGTCTACAGTGAACGAGAAGCTGTATACAAGTCAACAGTGTGCCCTTGCTGCCAAGAAGGCTAATGGACTGCATTAGTAGGAACACTGCCAGTGGATCGAGGAAAGTGATTATTCCCCTCTATTCAGTACTGCTGAGGCCACATCTGGAGTATTGTGTTCAGTTTTGGGCACCTTCCCCCCCCCCTCCCCCCACACACACTACAGAAAAGATGTGGACAAATTGGAAAGAGTCCAGCGGAGGGCAACGAAAATGATTAGGGGGCTGGGGCAGATGACTTACGAGAAGAAGCTGAGGGAACTGGGCTAATTTAATCTGCAGAAGAGAAGAGAGCGGGGGGGGGGGGGATTTGATAGCAGCCTTCAACTACCTGAAGTGGGGTTCCAAAGAGGAGGGAGCTAGGGTGCTCTCAGTGGTGGCAGATGACAGAACAAGAAGCAAAGCTCTCAAGTTGCAGTGGGGAAGGTCTAGGTTGGATATTAGGAAAAACTATTTCACTAGGAGGGTGGTGAAGCACTGGAAGGGGTTACCTAGGAAGGTAGTGGAATCTCCATCCTTAGAGGTTTTTAAGGCCTGGCTTGACAAAGCCCTGGCTAGGATGATTTAGTTAGGGTTGGTCCTGCTTTGAGCGGGGGGTTGGATTAGATGACCTCCTGAGGTCCCCTAGAAAGCTGGGACCCCTAGAAAGACTGCACCAAGGCAAAGATTTCTAGCTTCCCATTGGGAGAAAACCCAATATCCATGTATACTGCTGTGAGCAATTCTATTATACCAATTTCATAATTTCATATTGCAAAAAGAATAAAACCAAAGGCACTATGTACTCAAGATTACCTGTACAGAAGGGACATTGAATAGAGATCTTTTTCCAAAGATTGCAAGGCAAGATATACCTTAGCTTTCATGTCACTAGGAAAGAGAATACGGATTATTAAGAATTAAATAATTGACAAATAAAAGCTAAATTATATTTAAGAGATACAACCTATTTCCTGGAATTTGATACAGATTTAACAGGCCTTCTAGAATCTTTCCAAAGGCATCATAATTCTTCATCCTAACAATAAAGAACAATTATTACAGCCAAAATACCAAAAGATGAATGAAACACACCATACAGCTTTATATAGTGAGGTGGAAATATTTCATACAGTGCATAGAGACAGTGACGTAAACCTGGTTGTAATATTTAGCATTTCACAACGTTGTTAAGAATTTTTTTTTTTTTAAGAATATATCAGGAAATGTGACTTGACTCAGGCACAAAGCAATGCAATTAAATTTGACATTACTTAAGTATGCATCACTGAAAGCAATCAACAGGCATGGTATACGTATCTGATAGCTGGAGATGTAACTTATCAGCTAGGAACAGCACTTCTTGACATTTCAATACAGTTAGTCGTGCACTACACTCCCCCATAATACAATGAACCCATAGATAGTTCTTTCATCAAAAGATCTCCAGGATCTCTATTCACACTAGATCCATAACACCCTTGTGAAATAGACAAATTTTTAAAACAGTCTGAATGGGTAAATTGAAACACCGAGGATAAGCAACTTGCCCAAGGATACACAACAAGTCAGCGTTAGGGCCAGGAATAGGACTCTGAATCTCCTGACTTCACCACCAGACCAAGTTCTCTCTCCAACCAGAAACTTAAGCAAACCATTTAATTTATCTCTGCCTCAGTTTTCCCATCTAGAACATGGGGATAGCAATACTTCTGTACTTCACAGGCACATTTGTTAATCTTATTTCACCAGTGGTTTGAGGCCCACAAATGTAAGATGTTATAAAAATGGAGAAGTATTATTACATTAAATGTAATACTACTTAATAGGGTCCACCATTAGCCAATTAAAGACCATAAAGTAATGAATATCTGAGATGGAGTTAGATTGAATGGTATACTCTAACGGGGTGGTTTAGTGTACTTTCCGCCTTATCCCTACATATTGTAACTACACATCACCTTTTAAGATCATAATTGGGAGCAAAATGTTTGATGCACTTTATAAAGGTACTACTACCAAAGGTGAGTGAGAAAAAGAAAGTTTTGAACTCAGCTAGCTATATTATGAAATTAGAGATGCTAATCGTTCAGTTTGAGACAAATAGAGTTTAAGATGACCAATGTGCAATGCAGGCCCTCAAGTAGAAGGAAGAAAGAGGATACCTCTGTCCATTTCCCACCCATCCTTGTCCTTTTTATTCCAGTAGAAAACTTATGTGAGATACCACAGCCACTGAAATATACTCATTGGAAAGAGCAGTTGACCAAATTTGTTTTTTAAGTATATTTTAAAATCTAATGAGCTTTTCAGCTGGTCTTTAAAATGAAGGTCACTTGGAACAGGAAATGTTTGGAACAGGTCAAGAAATATTTGGCAATAAGAATTTTTAAATCCATTGCACAACATCCTCTAGAAATATCACTAGTGGGAATGTGAAGACCCTTTCTCCCCTTTACATGATGAAAAAGAAACAGATTATTCTGATTTATTTGCACTGCCACAGTAGAAGATTGATGAAGAACTGAAAAAAAAAAAAGGGGGGGGGGGGAAAAAATCGAGGGAGTGTCAGTTCAGGGTCTGAATACAACAAAAGCTAATCTATATAGCAATAATATTTGGAAAATCATTTTAAGAATCCATATGTTTCATTACTAGCCAAAAACCAGTTTGTACAATTTTTTATGTATTGTCCACTCTTTAATAAGCAAGGGTTTAAATTGTGTTATGTAGCCCTGCAGTCCTTATAAGATAAACACACATATTACATGTGTTCAGCTGATAGAAAGAGCCAATACACATTGTTAAATTTAATGGAGCCGCATCTGCTTACAGAAGCTTGCACTCCAGAAGTGAACATACCTTTTCCCTGCAGTTATTTTCTAAGCTGTGTTTGTATTTCCTCCCCTTTAGTTTACAGACTATAAAGAATTAAAAAAACAAAAAAGCCCTCTAATATGAAGCATTAAAGCAGATTTTTTTATATTTTTAATATAGATATGTTTAAACAAGGACATTGTTTTAATTTCTTATTTCTTATCAATCACTTTCTGGTTTCATACTTAAAAATATAAAATTATTTTTAAAAAAAAATCAAGTTTTCAGCAATATGTAGCTTCCTGATATTAGGATATTTAGAAGAGAAAACTCTTGTACTATTCCCTTTAAAATACAATGCTAACTTAAATGTTTCAGACATTATTTTCAAAATAGGTTCAGGACTATTAAATAATTCCCTTTAATCAGCCAAGGAATTCTAAGCAAGTCTATACCTTAGAAGCTGCACTAGGTCATCACAAACCTAGAGAAAATAAATAAATAAATAAATAAATAAAATAAAATAAAAAGATCAAACTTTTCTAGCAGCCTTTATGAAATACCTCTGTAAACATTTTACTGGTGACAATAACATTCTTCATTATTTTACTCAACAATAATTTCCTCCCAGAAATCAAAGTCATATTATATAGTTAGTTATGCCAGAATCTTAATATGAGAATACTAGGAAAAGAGAATGGCTGTGTGACTGATAACTACCCAAGATAACTCATTTGATAAATTCTATTTCTAAAATCCATTTGCTAGTTTTTTTTATTGGCAACTATTGTGGTGCGGTTCTCTGAATATGTACTTCCATTCTTAATAAGATAACCCATCATAAATGACAGATTTTCCTCGCGAGACACATTTGTTCCAGTTTATTTTGAGTTAATTTGTATTCTTTTCAGATTTTTGGGCTGACTACCCCAAAGTCTTCCACACTTCCATTTAGCCTCAGAACAGTAGCACTGGCAGCAGCAGCACAAGTTTCTCCACACTACCCTGCAGGTTGTTTCGCCTAATAACAAACAGCAGCACCAATGCTTGTAGTACACAGTGATGTTCTATCAATATTTTAACAAGGAACTCCCAGGGAAAAAAAAAAAAAAAAAAAAGATTCCCCTGTAATAATCCCCATTAGCAGGAATGTGTGCACGTGTATTGAAGATGTCTGAGAAATTCTCACAATAATTAAAATACCCCCTCTGGGAATACATATTAAACTGCACTTTACTGGAATTCTTAGCACCTGAGGAATATATTTAGTATGTTGAACATAACTTTTGTAGGGCTTTAAGAAGGGATAGATATCTGGGGAAGGTCTGGATGTAGCAATATTTAAAGAGGAAGTAAGAAGCAGAGAAATCACCCCTCTTCCCTTATGCTTGGTGGTAGAATTTTAACAAACTCATAAGAGCTCCCTACAACACATTATAGTACTGTGAAGATGTAAAATGCAGTACAAAAACATTATCTAACTAGGAGAATAGCTCAGCCTGCCTACCTGTTGAATCACTGTCCTTTAAAATGCTAAAAAGGATTCCAAGAAATACCAATTGCTATGTGGACTCTTGTCTTATAGGAACTAGACCAACATTATCAATACTTTTAGGTATACAGGTATATTTATGCCAGCTAGTGTAACAGTCAAATGGAAGTTTGTTCAATAGCAGAGAAGTATCTTATTTGGTGTTTTTCCAGCCAGTTACAAAGATCCCATTATGAGTCACTTTCAGAAAAAAGCCATAAAAACAAGATTATGTTTTGTTACACAAGAAGCATGATAAAAAAAAAAGAAAACAGATCAACTTTACCACAGGAGCTTCTCCAGGGTGAGCCAATTTTACATCTATCACCTTTCCATCTTTCTCCAACTGAACTTCTACATAGAACATGTCTGATGTTAAATAGCAAGCTGTCCCATTGGGGCTTATGTGAGATTTCAACCTACAGAAAAGGAAAAAGCATCATATACCTGGAAGTTTTGTTGTGTGAAGAAAGAAGGCCAGTTTATTTTATTTGGAAATGTTTACCGCTCTAAAATAGCTGTTCCTTGGCTTAGCATCTGATAACTATCCAACTAGAGAACGTACTTTTGGTCTTCTCTTCTGTGATTTGCATTATTAATGTGTTTAGCAAATATTTACCTTAGTCTTCGCATGGCTTCCTCAACCCCACCAGAACAACCACTTCTAAGAATGCCACAAATGACACAGTTACGTATCCTCTTTTTGTTCCACATAACATAGCCCATTAGAATGCCAATCCAAGAAAGTTCACAAAATGTTAAGTCATCCATATGGTAATTCTCACTGGATTTGAGGTAGTTCTGTTTCATTTACATTTAACGCATAAACAAACTTACCCCCTTTGTTTGGATAAAAATTCCAATCTGCTCATCACAGTAGACAAAGATTTAGCTGAAAAGGGGAAATTATTTAATCAGATTTCAATGTACTAGAAAAAAAATGGCAATTATTTTGCTTCAGAAAGTATGATTTAACTAGTATAGATAATACAAGAGAGAACGTCTACCCTCTGTGTTTATACAGTTCCTAGCACAATAGAATCTTAATCCTGGTTGGAAGCATCTATTCATATCGAGGTCATGCCCAATCAACCACTACTCCTCTCTCCTCCTACCTTCCCTCCACTCCGATACAGCTATTTCATGGAATGTTTAACAATGGATTATGAATTTTCTTGCATCTTGTTACCATTTAAAGTCCTTTGTATCTTCTCCAAGCAAGAGAGTAAAGGATGATGTGGGGTAACACTAATGGAACCTCGAGGTGGTTTATCCTAGCACAATAGGGGAGGAAAAAAAGATAATTTCAAACGTCACCAGTCAAAAAGAAACTGGATTCTGTGTATGAATTAGAAAGATTCAAACCCAATCCAAAATAAAAGCAGCAGCTATTTCACTCCAAAAAGAATTCTGTAATTTCACATGGAGGTGAAAGCAGTTCACCACAGCTCTGATTCTGCAAACTCTTACACACGAGTAACTTTATGCATAGGAGTAATAATAATACCCAGCTCTAGAGTAATCCCATTGAACTAAATGGACTGACACTCTCACACTGTAGCAATTGACTTAAAGCCTTTTTTAATTATTTGTATTACCATAGCACCTACGAGCCCAAGTTGTGGAGCAGGACCCTACTGTGCTAGGCGCTGTACAAACAGAGAACAAAGAGCTTATAGTCTAAGTACTTAAAATAGCACAGGGACTGCTATCCATAAACTCTTTGGGCCAAATGCAGGCCTTGTTTGATAATCTGAACTACTTTCACCAGGCTTCCTAGGGGCCAATCCAGAAGTCTTTACTGAGTTCTTGGCTTCAGGAAGAGTGTGTCTGAGTAAAAAATGAATGAGCACTAAATAAGGACTCATTTGTGTAAGCATTTACAGGATCAGGGGCCAAGTTCTATTTGAAAATGTGACGTTAATTAGAAATTAGGATCTCCAAGCCTCCTTGCTGGCAGGCACTGTCTAAAGACCTTCAAAATCAATCAGCAAAATTATGTTCTCATTTTTGTTAAGTGGATATTTTAGTTAAATATTAATAAAAAGCATCGAAGGAGGACATGGACACAAATGTGATTTGCTCTTTCTAGGCAGTATTCATGACTGTGCTGGAGACACTTAAATACAGTAACCAACATGGAGAACCAAAACAACTAGTACCTTAAAAGTTAAAATTATAAAAGATAATCTAAGTAGGAGCCTCCCAACTGACCCACAGTCCCCCATGAATGGCCAATCCTGAGCTCCTTACGTAGGTCCTAAGCCAGCAATGGATTTATGCACATGCTTAACTGGAACTATTCACATTGCGTAGAGTTAAGGATGTGTCTAAGGGCTGGTCTACACCCAGCCGCTAGTTCGGCGGCTGGGGATCGAAGTTCTGGGTTCGACTTATCGCGTCTGGTCTGGATGCGATAAGTCGAACCAGGAAGTGCTCGCCATCGACTGCAGTACTCCAGCTCGGCGAGAGGAGTACCGCGGAGTCGACGCGGAGCCTGCCTGCCGCGTGTGGACCGCGTCTGAACCGCGGTAAGTTCGAAGTAAGGTATGTCGACTTCAGCTACGTTATTCACGTAGCTGAAGTTGCGTACCTTACTTCAATTTGGGGGGTTAGTGTAGACCAGGCCTAAGTCTTTGTGGGGTCACAACCTTAGGGCTTGCTCATTCTTTACCAGGGGTCTCAAACACGGAGCCTACCCTGCCCCCGGTGCGCGTCGGGCCGGAGCTCACCCCCCAAGCCCCTCCTGCACCCCGACCCCCTGCTGCACCCCACACCCCTCCTGCACCCTGCACCCCTACCCACTGCCCTGAGCCCCCTGCTGCACCCCACACCCCAACCCACTGCCCTGAGCCCCCTGCTGCACCCCTCCTGCACCCTGACCCCGTGCTGCACCCTGCACCCAACCCACTGCCCTGAGCCCCCTGCTGCACCCCTCCTGCACCCTGACCCCCTGTTGCACCCTGACCCCCTGCCCTGAGCCCCCTGCTGCACCCCACACCCCTCCTGCACCCCAACCCCCTGCCCTGAGACTCCTGCCGCACCCTGCATCCCTGCCCTGAACCCCCTGCTGCACCTCACACCCTCCTGCACCCCAACCCCCTGCCCTGAGCCCCCTGGCCCCCTGCCACACCCCTCACCCCAACTCCCTGCCCTGAGCCCCCACCACACCCCTCCTGCTCCCCCTGGGGGCAGGGAGGGGGTGGAGTTGGGGTGGGGATTTCAGGGAAGAGGTTGGAATGGGGGCAGGGAAGGGGTGGGAAGAGGCAGGGCAGGGGCGAAGGGGTGGAGTGGGGGCGGGGCCAAGGGCAGCGTGGGGGAGGTGTCAGTAAATGCGGCCCTTGGGCCAATGTACTAGTCCTCATGTGGCCCTCTTGGTCATTTGAGTTTGAGACCCCTATTCTTTACTGAAGTCAAAAACTGAGTGAAGACCTCAAGCCCCTAAGAAGTATTATGAAAGTTGCTAAGATTATCAAACAAGGCCTGCATTTGGCCCAATAGAGTTAATGGAAAACAACTCCCTGCACTGTTTTAAAGTATCCATGTCAATTGTAAGATAAACAGAAGTCAGGCTTTCATAGGTGTAAGAAAGCTCCATGAAAAAGCTTCACTTTAAAAGAAAAAAAAAAAAAAGTCCCAGAAAAATTTCAGATTAGTTAGAGACATTTCTGTTGTTTGCCCTTTGGTCAAACACCCTCATCTTATCCAGCTGCCAACAAACTTGCTGATATTTCTTACCATGCAAAGACGTACAAGTTTCAGAGTTTCAATCCATGGTTTTTGTGCATATTTTAGATGCAGCTTGTCCATTAAAGCATTTATTGAAATAAGTTTCACAGGATCTGGAAAATATTTTGAAATTTTCTAACATGCAATACTGTATTTTACAGGTTACTTTATCAGTAAAAAGAAAATGGTTTGTTCATTATACCCATTCTACTTAAACTGTATAGATAAGTTCATAGATGTTGCACTTCAAGAAAGGAAACAGAGGAAAGATGGATTTGAATTTTGTATACAATAATTTAATCATAATAGGCAATGTTGAAATTTCTCAGGGTGCATTTCTGTGTGTTAGCTTTGTTTTTCTACATCTTTCAGGGGTTTGTGCAGGCAAATATAGACTTCACTTCCATGTGGACAGAACCTCATGCCAACATGGAGCTCATTGAAGACTTAAGGCTTAATTAGCCTACAGAGATGGGCAAACGGGGCAGACCCTGTCTTGATCCCTGGTACAAGGGGCAGCAGCAGAGGGAGAAAGGCAGTCCCTGACGGACAGGGAGAAGGGAAAACAAAAACCACCTCTCGGGGGCTGTCAATGGAAAAGGAAACAAGACAACCCCAGGGCCGGCAGTGACATGGGAAGAGGAAGGGGTGGGAACTGCAACAGGAACAGGATCAGGACCAAGGGCAGGAACCAGACTGAGATCAAGGCCCCGGCAGCTAAGCCACCACAATGCTGCACCTCTTGACCAGGCATGGGGATCAAGGGATGGGTATAGGTAAGGGGTCCTCTATGAAGTCAGGCCGGGGTGCCAGGGTAGACTTGGCACCCTCAGTCTCTCCCCCACACTCTCCACAACAAAACAGCAGTCACCACCGCAGGCGCAGAGAAGATACAACCACTCAGTCCAGTAATAGTACCCCCCTCCACAATGTCCTGCAGCAGCTCCACACACAGCTCCCCTTCTTCTTCCAGGACACCAGCAGCAGCCTGAGAAGCAGCTGCAGCCAGCCAACCAACTAGCCAAGAGACCCAAGGATGGTAGCAATGGTGGGGTGGGTCACTCCTCTCTGGAGAGCAGGCCACCAGGGCCCTGCAAACAACAGCCAGGGAGACAACAGGAGGGGTCTGACCAGGGGAGAAGCAGGGAAACAGCAGCTGCCCCAAATGAGAGCTGATATCTGACCCCACACTCTGATCCCTTAAGCATTAATTAGGTCCACCTGTAGATTATGGAATGAGTATAGGAAGCATTCAAACTGGCTCCACCTCTGTGACATTGGATGGGGATCAGTGGTGGGAAACAGAGCCCAGGCAGGAAGGTCCAGGAGCAATCCTGACAATAAATGTCACTTGGTGCAACCAGGAGCATTCCAAAGACAAAAAGAATGTCCTTCCTCCCCCCAAGAATAAAAGTCACTCCCAACAGTTGGAGAGGGGAGTATCTTCCGATCATCCTCATTGATTGAGCTCATAACCACATTGCAAACTTTCTAGAATAATATCAGAAGGGAGGAAATTCCTCTCCCTCCCCCAGCTCACAGGTGGGGATAATAGAGGGACACAGAGGGAAAGAGGGACTTTTTACACACAGCTTTCCTAGTTGTGCATGATGCCGCTGCGCACAGCTGCCTGCCGCCACTGCATTCAGTGCAAGCACACTACGCACGTGGGAGGGATTTGGGGCAGGGTGTGCAATGCACCCTCAGAACACAAGCGGCTCGGACTGGAGGGGGGTTGTTGGGGGACACACTGGCAGCTTGAGAGGCTAGGGGCAAGCAGGAGCTCAGATCCCAAGTACTGAACATGTGGAAGTGGTTTGCGGGTAAACAAAGCAACCACATCTTCCCTGTCTACTCAGCTCCGCTGAGCGTGTAAAACCCCCAGCCTCAGGAGCGACCAGAGCCCCAGCCCTGCTACGCTTTCCTCTCAGGGCCAGCACGCCCCCAGGCCACCCTGCCCCCGGGCCACCCTCATTTACCAGCATCCTGGGACCCTGCCTCACTGCCGCAGGAACCTGGCTGGGGCCAGGAGCAGAGGGACACCTGCTCGCTCCTCTCCTTGGGACTGGGGAGAAGCTGCATCCTCCGCATCTCCCGGCTGTTTGCTGGGCTGGGTCCTTACTCCTCAGCCGCTGCCCCCCGGATACTTGCAGCAGCAGCTGTGG